AACGAGAAATCCAAATGATTGCAAGTAACAGAAAAATGTACACATGTACCAAGTATCCATTCATGCAACTTAAACATATTATAGACATTCGAGTAACACATGGGAGATAGAATAACGCTTTAATAGATTCATGCAAATCCACTTAATGCTCAAAATTTTAGAACAACTCCCACTAAGTTTTCAGAGTTCATACTTGAAAATAAGTTAATGAGTGTGAAGCCCAATTTTCGTTCACTAATTCTCTCACTTGGGCAAACACTCGTTAATATATTCTTTCAAAGATGTACCTAAAGAAAATTGCTTTATATTTTAGACATAATAAATATACATCACAACCAACATAAAGTTGTCGAACAGAATTTCAGCAATGAGTTACACTTACTTTAGAATTTATCATAATTAATTTACAAGCTTGATTGCTACCAAATTTATAATGATCAAAATAGACATACTAATCTTCATAAAATAAAAATACAGAGCCGTTTTGAGTCAAAATAGTAGTCAAAAGTCACATCTCAAAAAGACCAACACAATCTGCCAGTAAAACTGCCTATATGAGCATGGGTTACTAGTAAATTCACCACAATTAAAATATATGGCACAAAATTACGAAAATTTGCAGACACATAGTAGACATCTATATGTTGAACATAGCAAAAATTCAGGTCATTTGGTGACCATTAAATGTGTCATTCACCCAATTAACTTAAGACACGCAATCTACCAGAAACAATTATGTGCATCTATCATGAATTTATGCATCCATAACAAATTCAATTTCATATCATTTCAATTTTGATGTCCAAAGGAAATTCTAGTAGTCAAATTTCATCCTCTAAACTGACATCATAATTCAAATTGAAAAGATTAACAAGCATAAGACTTAAACAATGCGTACCTTAGCAATCCTTGATTAACATTCATGGGTCCAATGCTTTGCATCAACAAGTCTCATGAAGAGACACAAAATACGTCATGATGCAGCCGATTTCCATTCCTTAAAACCACAACCTATTCTGGGCTCATAGTGGAAATATTTTAGCTGATGGCATGGAACTTTATCCCCAATAGACTTCATGAAACTAAATTAATTTACACCTGATGGCAAGAAAATTAACTAGTTTATAGTACTAGATTTATGTCACAAAAGTACCTTCATGAAAAACTTCAACATCTGTAGGCAAGATGAAGATTTTCACAACTTTTGTGAAATAAAACCCATACTATGCCATCTTAATTAAACTAAAAGAAGTAATCCACACCTGTATACAAGACGATTATCCATTTTATTCTAATTAAGATGCAAAGTTGATCGAAGTAACTCAAAAACATAGTCTCATAATCAACTAAGCCGTTGCAGCTTGCTATAGTTGAAAAGACATATATCAACTCCGCCCTGAAACAATACAGAAGTCACATGGATTAATTAACTGTAAGTGACAAAATTATGATAACTTGATTCATGCGTCGAGTCTTACCTACAAATGGCACTAATTCCTTCATGACTCCCTTTGACATTAAATTAATCTCAAGAAACCTGACAGCATACTTGAAAGAGATTAATCACATATAAAACAAGTTCTATTCCACCACATGAATGTCAATACTTATCATTATGGAGTCAATTACTTAAAATAGAAATTCTTTATGTAATGGGAAAGAACAATACGTTCCTTTAATTTAAAAGCTTAATCGCTCAAATGTTTTCTTAAGTCAAATGTGTTCCTTTCCTTTTATATGCATACCAAATTAAATAAAGGAACAACCAAAAGTATTTTCTTTCATAGAAAACATCTCCAATATATGCCCTACATTAGCCTTGAAAAGTTTCTTTTCTTATGACACATAAAAATTTACTAATCAAAGCACTATTTAAATTCTTCAGGCATAGGAAAAACCACAAACAATAATACATGTTTGAAAATTCATGCTTATCAATTAAGCCACATACTTTGAATGGATTACATACCTCATGTCTTCATATGTTCATCACTTCTTTGTAAAGATATATATAATCACATGAACAACCAAAATTCTCATATAAGAATAGATAAAAATACAAATGAGAATTATCACATAATTATTACAAACCTTATTCATTTGTACAAGACCCTTATTCTTGTCACTGGATGCTTTTTGTCATTCTCAGTCAATCCATAAGTTATGCATTAGTCATGTACAATTAAATGACTATACTGAGATAGGAAAGCAAAATTGTAGACAAAACTAATTTGATTAGTCATGCAAATTCCGTGTGGAGTTAATATCATTATAAACCGTACTTGAATTAATCCCCAATCATACTTAAGTGCTAGTATACCGCATTACTAATCAACACATTTGTGTCTTTACATTGGAACATCTCAAGCTTAGAGCAATATAGGACAACCCAATTCCTTTAATAAAACACGCCATATGTCAATTTTGCTACATGTTTGCAAAACTTAAAATTTCAATCCATATTGATTACTTCCCACAACAATCAATGTCATGGCAATTCAATTCAGTCTACATATATGTCCCACACATTATCATATAAGACAACTGATTAAAAAAATTGATTTGCATGAATTTATTTTACCCATGGAAATCAGAGGCAATAAGGATTTGGGGTTTAAGAAGTATTTCCAAAAACTGTTCGTGAGGGATTTGAGAGGATGCTTAGTGTCCCCTTGTTGCCTTTCCACCCTGGAAGCAGCGACTGGGGCTGCTGGGACCAGCCAATAGGCTCACTCATGCACATTACTAACGAAAAGCCACGAACAAACAAGATATATATGCACTTTTATATGCATGCATCTTGGCATGCCTTAAAAAATTCTTCTTTTCCCTCGTTCTGTATGCCACTTATATGCATATAAGAATTAATCATGTTCAAAACATATATTTTCTCTTTGTTTTGATAACCAAGTTTAAAACTTAATAGTCAAAACTAACCATATGCATGATCAACTAATTAATTCGCAATTGACACATATAATGATCAATTTTGTTTGCTTTGATAGGAGACTTTACCGAGCTTGTTGACTTGAGATGCTTCATAGTCTTTCTTGGCAAGATTAGTACAGAAGTACATATTTCTATGTGCTTACAAAATTGACAATAACGTTAGCCAAAATAGTTGTATCTACCACTAAATCAATTCAACCAAAACATTGGCATGAATATCGAAATAGAAAGCTTAAAGCATGCCGTCTTCTTCCAGTCATAATTAATTTAGTCAAGATGAGCAAACTATTCCAATTTTTCTTTATGAGAACTGAATACAAGAAAGAAAGCTTAAAGTGCTTGAAAACCTACCATCCAACAATTATTGGTTTACCAATTTATGAGTGATATATCTCAAAATTCTCCAGTGCAAGGTTAGAACAAACGACTATTTCAATTGAACCAAAACATTAATATGAACATTGAAATAGAAAACGTTAAGCACCATGGTAATTCCAATTATACAATTCCATAAAATAATGAACGAACTATTTTAATCTTCCTTTATTATAGTTAATTCAATGTCATCATTAAGTGCTTCAATTAGAAAAGCCCACGTTTGGAATTGAAGGGTGGTGGCGGTAGAAGAAAACTTCAACTCAACAGGCACCCCTCGCAGAAACAGATTAACCAATTATGTATTCGTTTAATTTAACTGATAATTTCGGTCTGTAAGATCAAATAGGAACTGATGTAAAACATGTGCTGTGCATATCATACTGATATGCCAAGTATATGCAATTATATGCGGAAACGTACAATATGCAGTTTTCGAGCAGGTCCAACATGGTGATGTTGCCGAATGCAATTACAATTTGGATTTAAGATCAAAACCGCAGTCCAAAAAGAAAAATATTATATAATCAAACTTCAAACCTGGTAGGTTTTAATCATATAACCAGTGGCTCTGATACCAACTGTTAGCCTTATAAGGTTATACAATTAAAACACAAACAAAGGAGTGATTGACCTGATTCCAATGGGAGCCATGGAAGTCAAACACAAAAGTAGCAGAGCATGGCAACACCAGGATCTTCTATAAACTCCTAGCCGAATACAACTACACTATGGGAAGTATTATGTTGTGTGTTCTAGGGCTTACATGGACCGGTGTTTATATATGTAGTCTAAAAGTTATGATTTCCATCCATAAAGGAAACCTAAACTTTACTTTTGTTAGCCTCCTAGTCAAGTATCATAATCATATTCAATTAAGGATTCCATCAATCCTATTTCCAATATAAGACACCTTATATAGGATTGATATCTTTAAGAGATCAAATCACAATCAACGTTATTCTCCAATATTACATTCCTATTACATGTAGTAGACCACTTAAAGGTTGATTTATATTGGATAAATCCAACAGCTAACGACTAGTTTTGTGTAAATAGGCTAACGACTAGTTTTCTCAAGCTAAAGTCTAAGAGACAAATGAAGGGCTGAGATTGAAACTGTGCTGTAAGGCTTAGATTAGAGTAGTACAAATGTTAGGTTGTGTTCCTTGTCTTATTCCTAAATTGAGATAAGAATGTTGACTGTAAAACCCTACTACTCTGATGATATATATATATGAAATGAATGCTGTTGTAATGATAAGCAGCCGTCACTCTTATTCTTATTCCCTTTTGCTCTGAATACTTCATAGAAATACTCACTAAAATTCCTTACAAAACACTCAGAATACAAAACATTAACATGGCCTTAGAGCTCAGGTTGGATTAAAAAAAACCAGCTAGGTGTTGTGAAGCTATTTTTCAGGGGAGATTTTGAGTATTTGAAACCCCAGAAAGTGATTCAAGAACCAAGAAATGTCTGGGTCAAGTAGCAACGATGGTGAGCTTAGACCTCCCATTTTTAATGGAGAGGACCATGGTTTCTGGAGGATAAGGATGACCACCATTTTCAAGTCTCAAGACCTGTGAAAATGGTTCAAGAAGGGTATGAAGTCCCAGATTCAGAGGATGATGAACTCATTGCACCTTGAAGAACACCTTTGAGAGAAATTGGGATGAAAGATGCTAAGGCGCTGGGGATAATACAAGGTGTAGTGTCATATGCTATTTTTCTGAGAATATCAAATGAAGAGACATCCAAACTTGCTTGGGAAATCCTTCAAAGAGAATACAGAGGTGACAATAAGGTAACCAAGGTAAAGCTTCAATCTTTAAGACGCCGATTGTGAATCAAATGAAAACTTTGGTGAAGAACTACCTAGGGAAAGACTTGTACATAAATTGTTAATCAGTTTGACAAAACCCTATAACTAATAGTAAATGTTATACAGGAAACTAAGGACACTGATACATTTGATGCACAAGAGGTTACAGCCTCATTGAGAGTTTTTGAGCAAAAGCTAGAGAGACATGATGATGCAGCCATAAAGAGGGCTTTTCAGTCACTTAGTATCAATCCTAGAGAGGGCAGTTCAACTGGGCAATACAACAGTTTCAAGCAACAAAAGAAGCCATGGAAAGGGAAATCTAAGAAATGGGAAGGAAGGTCAAGTGAGTCTACCAGAAACAATGGTGCTGGTGGGACAAAACCACAGTGTACAATCTGTGATAAGGCCCATTTTGGTGTCTCTTGGTTCAAGGGGAAACCTAAAAGCAATAAATGTAACAAGTTTGGTCACTTGTCCAAAGATTGTGGTTCTAAAAGAAACCAACTAGTGAACTATGCACAAAAGACTAAAGAGGAGACAAATGTGTTATATGCTTGCAATGTCACAATTGTTGAGAAAAACAAAGATATATGGAATATTGACAGTGGGTGCAATAATCATATGACTGCACATGAGTCCCTACTTATCAATATTGACAGAGAATTCACTGGGAAGGTTAAGATGGGCAATGGTCAACTTGTAAGTGCCACTAGTAGAGGCACCTTAGTGATTGACACAAAACAAGGAAGGAGATAAATCAAAAAAGTTATGTTGGTACCTGGACTTGATGAAAACCTATTGAGTGTAGGCTAAATGATCATACATGGTTATTTCTTACTCTTTAGAGATTTAGTGGTTGAAATCTTTGATGATAGAAGTTTGCAGAACATGGTCACAAAAGTAGAAATGATAGAAAACAGGAGTTTCCCATTGTTGCTCAACTATAATCAAGCTATCTCACTGAGAGCTAGTGTCATAGAGAGTACTTGGTTGTGGCATAAGAGATATGGTCACTTGAACTTTCAAAGCTTGAGAAACTTGTAGAGAATGGAGATGGTTAAAGGACTACCAAAACTGCATGGAGAAAATGAAATCTGTGAAGGGTGTGTTCTAGGCAAGCACCACAGAGAGAGTTTTGAAGCCAGAAAGTCTTGAAGGGCTACACAACCATTGGAAATCATCCACACAGATGTATGTGGTCCAATGCAAATTGCAACAGTGAGTGGTAACAAAATACTTCCTAACCTTCATAGATGACTATTCTAGAATGTGTTGGGTATACTTCATAAGACAAAAATTAGAGGTATTCAGTATATTCAAAAAGTTCAAAATGATGGTTGAATTGCAATGTGGTTACAAGATCAAGAAAATAAGAAGTGATAAGGGGGGTGAGTAAACCTCAATCAAATTCAACTCTTTCTGTGAAAGCATGGGATTGGAAAGACAGTTGACAGTGGCTTATACCCTTAACAAAATGGGGTTGTTGAGAGGAAGAACAAAACCATAATTGAAATGGTGAAGTCCATGCTCCATGAGAAAGGGATTCCTCATTAATTCTGGGGAGAAGCTGTGAATACTGCTATCTATTTATTAAATAGATGCCCAAGCCTTTAGTGGAAGGAAACCAAGTGTGAAACACCTAAAGTGTTTGGCTCAATATGCTATGCACTAATACCATCTTAGTTGAGACACAGACTGTAGGAAACTAACAACAAGTGCATATTTGTAGGTTATGGTAACTATGAAAAAGGGTATAGATTGTTTAACTTGAAAACACAGAAAATCAACATCTCAAGGGATGTGGTCTTCAATAAAGATACAAGGTGGAATTGGGAAGATGGTGTAAAAGCTGACGTATCAGTACCAATGACAATTGGTGGAACTGACAATGTAATTGAGTCACAAACTCAAATCTCTGCTCACTCACCAAATCAATCTCAACAATTTTAGTTGCAGCAATCACCTCAACATACTTCACCTCAATCTCAGAGTGAAAGTTCTCAAAATACACAAAATTCTGTCTCCCAAAACTCCACTCCTAGTTCTACTCCTATGAAACTGAAGAGCTTGAGTGAGATATATGCAACCTGCAATTTTTCCATAATGGGTGTAATACCCTAAAAATTTAAAATATATGTATATGTGGAGTAATTGAGAATAAATAGATTTATGGTTATGAAATTCGAATGGGGAAATGTGAAATTCTGCTTCAGGATTTCATTATTTGTTATGTCGTATAATTCTTCGTTAAGTGAAAAATGACGAAATTGCCCTATTGTATTAAACGGATTTCCTCACGGACATATTTGATCCTTTCATGATTTTCCATATTTCTTTACATATTCAAATAGTACGTTTCGATACGGACGCGTGAGTGCAAATGAAATGTGATTTGGAGTTAGGACGAGTAAGTTACGAATTTTCTAAATAAAAGGACATTTTAGTAAATTCAAGTGGAACTTTCTGGAAGCCAATGACTTCTTTTTTTCCTTCCCTGCGTGAGAAACCAGCAGTGAGGAGGGGGTTGCTGTGTTCTTCATCCCTTTAATTCTCCTTCACTCCAAAAATTTCATGGAATCATAACTTTCTTGTACGGTAACGAAATCATGCACGGTTGAAGCCTATGTATTCGTAGCGAATCCCTCTTCAATTTGATACAAACCCATATGCTGGAACCAAGCATGCCCGTATGTTGAAGCCTAGAAGTTTCGACGCCGATTCCGGCTAACCTCGCTAGAGATAGGTCTCGACCCAATAGAGAAAAATACTCCTCTCTTCGTGCGCTTTCAGGATATGTAAGTGGATCTTCCGAATTTCAAGTTTCCTTTTCCAACAAGCTTGAGATTTGTGTTTAACTTGAATTTCTGGTGTTCTTGTTGAGGAGTTGTGGTGGTAACATTGATTTAGGAGCTTAGTAGCTATGTGGTAGATTGATGAACGACTTTGGAGGGCAGGATAAGAACAAGAAATGGTACATACTTTAATTTTATTGAATTGTTTGTAGTCTTTGGCTAAAAGTGGAAGAATTAAGCATGGTATGGGTAAGCTAACACATAGAAATAGAAGTTAAATATGATTCGTGGATAGTTTGGGATTGCCTGGAATTGTAAATTTGATTAAAGGAGCATGGGTTTAACATTGCAGAATACTTGTTCATTTAACAAAGAGAAACTATGTTTCAAGTAGCCTACTTTGGCTCTTGATTTCTATGTCCTCGTGAGTTCCTTTTGATCTAATATTGTGTGTTTTGAAATTAGACATGTCCGTGATCAAAACCCATATGATTTCACTAAATTTTGTTGAATTTTGATTGATCAAAATTACATCCAAAGTTGGGTCACTGGGCTGCCAAACAGCGGCAGAAAAATGGATTTCCAGTTTCAAGACTCTATTTTCTTTTTGGCATAACTTCCAATTTAGAGCTTTGTTTTCTACAAACTTTATCTGCCTTTAAAGTACAGAACACAAGCTTTAAAACCCATATAATATTAGACGATTTGGTTTAGTTTTGAATGCTCCAATGGGAGCCTAAACTTGGTCCAATAGTTCTGTTTTTCTGCAGATTTTGTGGAGAGATGTTGTTCTAGAATGCATAATGACGAACTATGAATGGCTTGATCCCTTCGCAGGGTACGTAGGTAGTCTAACGAGACGGTTAGATGCAGCCATAAAAATAACCCCAAATTTAATATTTTGCTGGATTTCTTTTAACGAAAGAAATTTGTTATGGTTAATAGCATAAAGATTAACCATGACTTTATTTTGGCCTATCACTGGATTTATCTTCCGATTCAGAAATATTGGGATGTTACAAATAATCGTCACATCTCGGCCCGGGCTCAACTCCACCGAAGCACAATATTGTCCGCTTTGGGCCCCGACCATGCCTTCACAGTTTTGTTTTTGGGAACTCACGAGCAACTTCCCAGTGGGTCACCCATCTTGGGATTGCTCCAGCCCAATCTCGCTTGACTTCGGAGTTCCTATGAACTCCAAAGCCAGTGAGCTCCCAAAAGGCCTCATTCTAGGTAGAGATGGGAATATACATATAAGGCTTACATGAACCACTCCCTTAGGTGATGTGGGATGTTACAATCCACCCCCCTTAGGGGCCCGACGTCCTCGTCGGCACACTTCTGGCCAGGGATTGGCTCTGATACCAAATTGTCACATCTTGGCCCGGGCCCCTACCACATCTTGGGCTCAACTTCATCGTAGCACGATATTGTCTGCTTTGGGCCCCGACCACTCCCTCACGGTTTTGTTTTTGGGAACTCACGAGCAACTTCCCAGTGGGTCACCCATCTTGGGATTGCTCTAGCCCAATCTCGCTTAACTTCGGAGTTCCTATGAACTCCAAAGCCAGTGAGCTCCCAAAAGGCCTCGTGCTAGGTAGAGATGGGAATATACATATAAGGCTTACAGGATCCACTCCTCTAGGCGTGGGGATGTTACAATCCACCCCCCTTAGGGGCCCGACGTCCTCGTTGGCACATTTCCAGCCAGGGATTGGCTCTGATACCAAATTGTCACATCTTGGCCCAGGCCCCCACCACATCCCGGGCTCGACTCCACCATAGCACGATATTGTCCACTTTAGGCCTCGACCACGCCCTCACGAGCAACTTCCTAGTAGGTCACCCATCTTGGGATTGCTCCAGGCCAATCTTGCTTAACTTTGGAGTTCCTATGAACTCCAAAGCCAGTGAGCTCCCAAAAAGCCTCATGCTAGGTAGAGATGAGAATATACATATAAGGCTTATAGGATCCATTCCCCTGGGCGATGTGGGATGTTACAGTGGAGCCTGAGAACTTTGAAGAAGCTGAGAGTGATATAGCTTGGAAGAAAGGTTTGGAAGATGAAATGGCAATGATTGAGAAGAATTCCACTTGGGAATTAGTTAATAGGCCTAGTGATAAGTCTGTGATAGGTGTTAAATGGGTGTATAAAACTAAACTTAACCTGGATGGCACAGTGCAGAAAAACAAAGCAAGATTGGTGGCAAAAGGTTACTCGCAACAACCAGGAGTTGATTTCAATGAGACCTTTGCTCCAGTAGCTAGGTTGGACACCATTACAACTCTGATTTCTCTTGCTGCACAAAAGGGTTGGAATTTATTCCAACTTGATGTCAAATCTGCGTTTTTGAATGGTGTACTTGAGGAGGAATTTTATGTTGATCAACCTCAAGGATTTGAAGTAAAAAATGAAGAGAACAAAGTCTATTGGTTAAGAAAAGAATTATATGGGCTCAAGCAAGCTCTAAGAGCATGGTACAGTGAGATTGATACTTACTTTTCACAAAAAGGGTTCAAGAAAAGTCCTAGTGAAGCCACTGTGTATGTGAAAGGAGGAAATGGAACTCATGTGTTCATAGTTTCAATTTATGTTGATGATGTGGAATTCACTAGCAACAATGAGAAGATGATGATGGATTTCAAAAAAGATATGATGTAGAAGTATGAAATGTCAGACTTAGGGTTATTGCATCATTTCCTTGGAATTGAAGGGATATTTATCCACCAAAAGAAATATGCTCAGACCTTGTTAGACAAGTTTGGTCTTAAAGGTTGCAAATCAGTAGCTACACCACTGATCTTAAATGAGAAACTCATCAAAGATGATGGAACAAAACTTGCTGACTCCAATCTTTGCAAGAAAATTGTTGGAAGTCTCTTCTACCTAACTGCCACTAGACCTGATGTGATGTTTGCAGCAAGTCTGAAGGAAAATTTTTGTCCTAGCTAAGAACATG